ATAAATTTTGTTTTTTCAATTTCAGTTCGTTTCTTCTATTTTTCATTTGCAATTTTTCGTTTTTTTTTTCTCTAATTTTACAATATGCAACTGTTCGAATTTTCAATTTTTAATTTTTCAGTTTTCGATTTTGTAGTTTCTCGTTTCTTCAATTTTTCGATTTGCAAATTTTGATTTTGGCAAATGATATAACCTCTAAAAAAATAAATGGCGAGTGGGCGGGGCTACTACTTGCTAAGTTAAGACCTGGTTTATAGAAACCGAAGTTAAAGTTAATTCGCGATTAACTTTTAATTGAGGTTCGTTGCTAGGCGACGTGCAGGTTTTAACCAATCACGAACTCCCATTCCACATTTTAATCCAGTGTTAAATTAATCGAGGATTAAATATTTAACTCGCGCTTCTATAAACTGGCCCTCAGACTAACAATATTAAGAGTAGTCACTGGAATAAAGAGGGGGTGGGTGGGCGGGGCTACTTCTTGCTAAGACTTTTTAGAAAAAAGACAAACTCGGTTCCGCCCACCTTTTTTTCTCTATTTCTTTGTCTTATTTTTTTACTGTAAAACGGCAATCTAAAATTTAAAACAAAGTAAAAATTGGCCCCGCCCACCCACCCCCTCTATTTCATTTTGATCATTCATTCTTATTGGCTCTGAAGAACAGAAGTTGGATTTTATATTTAAAAATAATAGGATCTAGAATTACATTCCTTTTTAATAAAATATATTTTTTACTATTTTTTTTTCGAAAAAAAGTTTCAAATTTTTAATTGCAATTGTTTTAGTTTTCATTTTAAATAAGTAATAATAATAGTTTTTAAAACATATCACTTTATGAATTTTTCCATTTTTCAAATACATATATACATATTATTGGATTTTAAAACTTTTTCATTTATACGACTTTTGAGTTTTTGATTCTTAATTTTTTTCATTTCTTCAAATTTTCGATTTGCAATTTGTTGTTGCGGTTTTTTATTTCCTTTATTTTTACAGTTTTTCGATTTTTCAATGTTCCGATTTTATAATTTTTTGTCTTTTCAGTTTCAATTATTTGTTTCTTAAATTTTTTGATTTGCCACTTTTTTCTCTAATTTTACAATATGCAACTGTTCGAGTTTTCAATTTTTTAATTTTCCAGTTTTTCGTTTCTTCAATTTTTCGATTTGCAAATTTTCAGTTTTTCATTTTTGTTGTTAGTACTTGCTAAAAAAGACTGATTTTGGCAAGACGTATACTCTAAAAAAATAGAAGGCGGGTGGGCGGTCTTAGTACTTGCTAAGTTGAGAGTAATTTTGACAAATGACATACTATCTAAGAAAATAGAGGACGGGTGGGCGGGGCTACTATCTGCTAAGTTAAGACTGAACCATATTAAGAGTAGTCCTTGGAATAAAGAGAGGGTGGGCGGGCGGGGCTACTACTTGCAAAGTTAAGACTGAAAAATATTGAGAGTAGTCTCTGGAATCAAGAAGGGGTGGGTAGGCGGGGCCACTGCTTACCTATAAGACTTTAGAAAAAAGCAAACTCAGTTCCGCCCACTTTTTTTTCTCTATTTCATTGTCTTATTTTTTACTGTAAAATGGCAGTCTAAAATTTAAAACAAAATAAAAAGTGACCCCCCCCCACCCACCCCTCTATTTCGTTTTGATCATTCATCTTATTGGCTCTGAAGAACGGAAGTTGAATTTTATATTGAAAAATAATAGAATCTAGAATTATATTCTTTTGTAATAAAATATAATTTTTACAATTTTTTTTTCGAAAAAGTTTCAATTTTTAGATTTTTCAATTTTTCATTGCAATTTTTTTAGTTTTATTTTAAATAAGTAATAATTATTATTTTTAAAATATGTAATTCCCTTTTAGAATTTCACGATTTTAGAATTTTTCCATTTTACATATATATATATTATTGGATTTAAAAACTTTTGCTTATACGACTTTTGGGTTTTCGATTCTTCATTTTTTCAATTCTTCAAATTTTCAATTTGCAATTTTTTGTTTCGGTTTTTTATTTCCTTTATTTTTACTGTTTTTCGATTTTTCAATGTTCCGATTTTATAATTTTTTGTTTTTTCAGTTTCAATTATTCGTTTCTTCAATTTTCTCATTTGCCATTTTTTAATTTCTCATTTTTTTTTCTCCAATTTTATGATGTGCAACTGTTCGAGTTTTCAATTTTTAATTTTTCCGATTTTTCAGTTTTTCGTTTCTTCAATTTTTCGATTTGCAAATTTTCAGTTTTTCATTTTTGTTTTTTAGTACTTGTTAAAATAAGACAGATTTTGGCAAATGACGTATCCTCTAAAAAAATATAAGGCGGGTGGGCGGTCTTGGTACTTGCTAATTTGAGAGTAATTTTAGCAAATGACATACCCTCTAAGAAAATAGAGGAGGTGGGCGGGGCTATTATTTGCTAAGTTAAGACTGAACCAATTTAAGAGTAGTCCCTGGAATAAAGAGAGGGTGGGTGGGCGGGGCTAATACTTGCTAGGTTAACACTGAACAATATTAAGAGTAGTCCCTGGAATCAAGAGGGGGTGGGTGGGCGGGGCCACTGCTTACTTATAAGACTCTTTAGAAAAAAGGCAAACTCAGTTGATTGCATTTTTTTAGTGTTCATTTTAAATAAGTAATAATAATAATTTTTAAAATATTTCACTTGATGAATTTTGCGATTTTAGAATTTTTCCATTTTTCAAATATGTACATATTATTGGATTTTAAAACTTTTTCATTTATACGACTTTTGAGTTTTCGATTCTTCATTTTTTCATTTCTTCAAAATTTCGATTTGCAATTTTTTGTTTCGGTTTTTTATTTCCTTTAATTTTACAGTTTTTCGATTTTTCAATGTTCCGATTTTATAATTTTTTGTATTTTCAGTTTCAATTATTCGTTTCTTCAATTTTTTGATTTGCCATTTTTTAATTTTTCTTTTTTTTTTGTTTTCACTAATTTGATGATATACAATTGTTCGAGTTTTCAATTTTTAATTTTTCAGTGTTCCGATTTTTCAGTTTTTCGTTGCTTCAATTTTTCGATTTGCAAATTTTCAGTTTTTCATTTTTGTTTTTTAGTACTTGCTAAAATAAGACTGATTTTGGCAAAAGACGTATCCTCTAAAAAAATAGAAGGCGGGTGGGCGGTCTTGGTACTTGCTAAGTTGAGAGTAATTTTACCAAATGACATACCCTCTAAGATAATAGAGGACGGTTGGGCGGGGCTATTATTTGCTAAGTTAAAACTGAACCATATTAAAAGTAGTCCCTGGAATAAAGAGAGGGTGGGTGGGCGGGGCTACAACTTGCTTGGTTAACACTGAACAATATTAAGAGTAGTCCCTGGAATCAAGAGGGGTGGGTGGGCGGGGTCACTGCTTACTTATAAGACTCTTTAGAAGAAAGGCAAATTCAGTTCCGCCCACTGTTTTTCTCTATTTCATTGTCTTATTTTTTTACTGCAAAGTGGCAATCTAAAATTTAAAACAAAATAAAAAGTGGCTCCGCCCTCTATTTCGTTTTGATCATTCATTCTTATTGGCTCTGAAGAACGAAAGTTGGATTTTATATTGAAAAATAATAGAATTTAGAATTACATTCTTTTTTAATAAAATATAATTTTTACAAATTTTTTGTTCGAAAAAAAGTTTCAATTTTTAGATTTTTCAATTTTTGATTACATTTTTTTTGTCTTCATTTTAAATAAGTAATAATAATCATACTTTTTAAAATATTTCACTTTATGAATTCTACGATTTTAGAATTTTTCCATTTTTCAAATATATACATATTATTGGATTTTAAAACGTTTTCGTTTATACGACTTTTGAGTTTTTGATTCTTAATTTTTTAATTTCTTCAAATTTTCGATTTGCAATTTTTTGTTTCGGTTTTTTATTTCCTTTGTTTCATCAGTTTCAATTATTCGTTTCTTCAATTTTTTGATTTGCCATTTTTTAATTTTTCATTTTTTTTTTTTTTTAATTTCACGATATGCAACTGTTGGAGTTTCCAATTTTTAGTTTTTCAGATTTTCGATTTGCAAATTTTCAATTTTTCATTTTTGTTTGTTAATAATTGCTAAAATAAGACTGATTTTGGCAAAAGACGTATCCTGTAAAAAAAAGTAGAAGGCGGGTGGGCGGTCTTAGTACTTGCTAAGTTGAGAGTAATTTTGGCAAATTTGCTAAGTTAAGACTGAACCATAATAAGAGTAGTCCCTGGAATAAAGAGAGGGTGGGTGGGCGGGGATACTGCTTGCTTATAGGACTCTTTAGAAAAAAGGCAAACTCAATTCAGCCCACCTTTTTTTTTGTATTTCATTGTCTTATTTTTTACTGTAAAATGGCAATCTAAAATTTAAAACAAAGTAAAAAGTGGTCCAGTGGCCTTTCATTTTTTCCTTTTTTTCTCTCTTTTTTCTCGCATTGTGTATTATCTATATTTATGACGCCATTACAAATTTTTATTGGTCAAATTAAGAACGAATCACCTCATTTTCGCGAAAATTTGAGAATACACACGTCTTTATATAATAATAATAAAATAAGAATTACAATATTCAGAATATTTTGTTCGATTGTGCTTTAATTTAATGTTAATTTATGCCTGTCTTTTGAGGAGATAATCTCATTCAAATCAAACTAATTTCTACGTGACATTCTTTCGGTGTATAAACATATATAACCACTAAAGATTCAGATTGCTATTACTTAGTGCTCAAGGATAAAGGGTGTCTTTTATGCCTCTGGTTTTTACTTTACAGCGGTTATCACAAAATCGTAAAATCAAATTTTATAATTTTTTTCATATGCAAATATGCAGCATGTTTCATAAAAAAATACAACTTTGAAAAATAATTGTAAATTATTGAGCTACGAAAATGCAAGATTTACACGACATATTAGAAGGTTCATTTTCCATTTCATGTGTGAAATTTTTGATCAAAAAATGTATGATAGAAAGAATTGTCGAACGTTGCGTTTATTTTCCAGGCGATAAAACAAACCAAGTTCACATGGAAGGATACCAAGTATCCAACCAGTGCATGGCGTTGGTGCGCGACAACTGCCTCCTCCCCACCAAGGACGCCCCCGAACTAGGTTACGTGAGGGAATCATCCGATAAGCAGTTCGTTCCTGACGTATACTACAAGGTAAGTGGGATATAATAATCACATCACAAATTACAGATGCGGAAAGTAATTTATTTGAAATCTAGAGTGAGGTGGTAGTAGGTACTCATTATCACAAATATTAGTCGGGTACAAGGCACAAACACTGGCTGCTACATTTAAGTTTCGCAATTAGGGGTTTCTGTTTTTTGTATTTTTTTTCCTGTTTCTATGTATTTTTTATAAATCTACCGACATGACATCACGCAGCCTTTTCGAAACGGTTACGACGACAGTTCTACTCGAATTATTGTTTATATTTACCATCGAGGTGATATCATGTCCGCTTACATGAAATTTTCACTAAGCTAATGTCAATAATACTTTACAACGATACTAGTTCTAGTAGACGTTTCTCTTCTCTTTGCACATTTAGTATGCAACATCTAGTTTATCTTATTTAAACAGTTGAAGAGACGCAACGAGCAAAAGGAGAGTAGGATAGTAATTCGAAAAGACGTAGGGTAGCTCAAAAATCCTTGACTTATTTATTATTCGCCGACACAAAGTTTAAAGTACACATGCACAAGTTTTTGCTGCTTTTGGTGTTTAAGTTCTTCCGAAAAGCGTGAAAACCTCAACGAAAATAAACAAAGTTGTCGTACATGCGAGATTGGACGGTATCTATACATAGTGAGCTCGATTGTTTCTAAAAAGAATGGAACCGGCATCGGCTACAAATGTCTCAATAAAGAAAATTAATTAACATTTTTTTTAATCGTTTACGTTCGTGATGTTATTAACTTTTAAGGTCATATGCATTTTTTTTAATGAGTTAGATCATAATTTAAATTACTGCATTATCATGACTGGGTACTTTAGCAATAAAAAACACGAGACACCCAGTATATGTTAAAAAATGATATAGCAAAATCGAAAAAATTAACATTATCCATGTCACTGCAGTTCAATTAAAATTTGATAACAATGTGGTCGGTGTCCGTGGCCGCATTTCGTGCCTTGTACTTTGTTTTTGAACGAACTAATTTGAAACAAAAAGCTGTCAAAATCATTTACATATTTAACGTATTAAATGTCGTTTCCTGCAAAAATTAAAAGTAATGTAGATGCCAACGACCACTTTTTTTAATTTTTTTAAATTCCAGTTTTGAATTAAAATTATTCTAGTGCTTGTAGACATTTATAGCCGATACGAAATCGATTTGTAAGAAATTAAAAAATAAAATTGTTATTGTCGATTTATTTCCACGTATGAGTATATTGGCAGGTGGCAGCATTTAGAAAAACGGAGAAATGCTGCCCTTGACAAACTGAATCCAAAACAAACCAAAATAACCGTTCACGTTTTTCCTGTCATAGTAAGCGAAATGTAAGCACCATATTCGAGATTATTGTTGAGCCACCCTATACGCTATACATAGAGTCCACTTTCCCGTTATCCATAAAAATAGACCTATGCCGAATCGAACGATGAAGTTCAGACAGTGAGCACATTCGAAATATTTGCCAATAACGTCATAAATAATTGTACTGTAGAGTAAGCAACGGAAATGTCAGAACAAACACCATTTACATAAAGCGGCACCGGTGCGTACATTCTCAAGGTCTACTCGTAACTACAATTATTTACTTTTTTCACATAATTAATGCACACTATTTTTGTTGCTAATTGGAAGAAAACAAAACTCGCTATTCCGACGTCGAAGCTCAAATTCTCTTCCAAGCCGATTTATTTTTTTTAAACGTTCGTAATGAAAATAGATGCATTCTTAAATAACGAAAGCGCAGCTGCTCAATTAGATCAAGTTTTCGACGTTAAGGTGTTTCGTGGCCTAATTTTTATCTGTCTAATTTTATTTTCCGCCGAATTAACGCGCGTCAATTGTTTTTTTGACAACGAGCGGCGAACTTCATCGTGGGGTCCGGATTGCGTCGGCGACGCCCCTTTATCAGACACCGATTTTTACACATTTAGACAATTACGCGTTATGATGAAAGATTGGCGAAACACTTATTGTTATGTTTAGGCTTATACATATATTAGGCTATGATATTTTTTCGCGCTACTCACTAACGTCTTGGAAATGTATTATGATACGAGTAATGCTTCACATCCGGCATTTTCCCCACCCCCCACCCCCAAACCAAGGAACGAATTTTTCGCGAATTTCGAAATTGCTGGACTCAAAATTTGGAACGTGTGCCACTTCGGTCGAAGAAAACGTGTGTCGACGGAACGGCTGCGGGTTGGAACGGGATTAGCCAGAGTCACTGAATGAAGGAAGAAATGAGAAAAACAGAACGATAAGAGTGAACGAAAAGCATGACTTTATTACAAAAAAAAAGAAAATCAAAATGCGTGATTTTCAAACATTCTAAAGCTACAAGTTTCTATTTAAACACTAGGCGAGTCAATGAAAAAGTTTATTAAACTGCAGTCTATCACATAATCAGTCGTAATTTTGCTCAGTCGAGATCTATCTCAAAACAAAATAATTTACAAAATAATAATCGATCGATAGTCACAAGTAAGTCCATTCAGTAACTCCAACTTAGGACCTAAGGAAGACCTAAACTAGACACTGGGTGATGAAAACAAAATTTTGTAAATGAATGACCTTGTAAGGCACAAACAAACTGTTCTAGCGAAATGAGACAGTACACTATACACTAGAAAAAACTAAATTGATATGCACTCGGACAATTCTCCTACGGTGATTAAATTCGTTGTACATTCGTTTTGCCCAAAAAACCAAAAGTTAGTTCCGACAGACAGTTAAAAAAAAAAATAACCAAATTGAAACGTTAAAAATATAGATTTTATTTGCCTTTTTTTTTTCATTCATTTTATGATTATAACATTGACAGCGATTCTAGCATGTTATATTATGATTCTTCGATAAATATACCCGGTTGCGACTAAATTAATTAACTTAAAACTACAGAACCTGAACGATTGCACGTTTAAACAAACTTCCACCTGAAACTATACCGCTCGATCGTATATCGTTTACTTATCCGCACGAAACGAAGAAATTTATTTAAACGTACAACCGAAGCGTACAATTAACAATTTACCGAATTACCGCACTTAAACTAGACAATTATATCCATGTCATATAATGAAAAGGAAAAAAAAAACATGACAAACATAATTAAAAAAATGGGAGATTTCTCGACGACTTCTTGTTTATGAACCCAAACCCTCTGACTTTACGGGGGATCCCATTATTATCGCTACGTGGGTCGAATCCTAATCCTGGTTTCGGTTCACTAACGAAAAAGCTCGTTACGTGGTGTGGAGGGAAAACACAAAACTATAATATTGAACGTATCTGCGTGATAAACCAGTACAGACTAATCCTATAAGGTACAACACGAAAAAAACAAAAAAAAAGAAAGGAAGCATCGATGAACAAAAGTGACGTGAGGTTCCAATGTGGACTTTAAAACGCAAAAGTACACGTTCAATTCCTGCACGTTGACATTCCGGGTTTGTTTTTTTAAACTCTGTAATCTTTAACATTTCTACCGCACCAGGAAACAAACATAACATAGACACTTATTAAGCTAAAACGTCCCTTTCACAAGCTGAAAAACGACAACAATAAAAAATATCGCTCGTGTTTGCTCTCTTTTATATACGATATTTCATACGATACGAAAATATAGTTATTTCGGAATTCGATAGTACTATTAAGCTAAGACGGTATCTTTACGTTTTCATCTTTTCGTGATCATTAACTACGCAGTTTTATGCTTGAAGCTACATATATAAAACATCTAGATATATATTTTTTGTACAGATTTTTTTTGTTTTTTTCTTTTTTAAGCAGAGTTTGATTCATACACATCAAATAGATAATTTAGTGTTTTTTGTTTTCTCAAAGAACATGTCAGTTGAAAACTGAACTCTTTGTCATGCGTGCTACAGATTGTTGCCGTTTTCACCTGACATTTTCGGTTTTCGATGGTGGTACGACGAAAGACGATTTTCTCGTTTTATAACTTCCCACATTTAGCGATCAGTATATTTTTGGTTGGTTTACCGGCCGTATCCCCGTACGTGCTGATTTTCTCGACTAGCTCGAGCCCCTCGATCACGTGACCGAAAATTCCCGTGAACCCCCTCATCTCTTGTAAAATAATGCGAAACTGCGACCCCACCATACCTAGATTGTCGTGCCTCTTCTGCGTCCTCCTCATGCCGACGGTGCCCCGGACGGCCATCAGCTTCGTGTCGTCCGGCAGGAAGTACGAGTCCTCGAAGATGGAACGCCCCCCTCTGCCGTTGTTCAGCTCGAAGTCGCCGGTGATGACGCTCTCGCCCTCCCAGCACTGGAAGATCTGGCAACCCTTGTACCCCATCCCCGCCTCCCCCGTCGTCAGTAGGCCGAAGTTCTTCGCCATCTTGGGGGCGACGTCGGCGCGGACCTCGATCACGATCCGCCCGAGGCTCTGCCCGTTGACTTCGATGTTGAAGTAGTAGAGTGGGCACATGTTCGCCGGGTTGCGGATCTGCGGCGAGTGTATCACGTTCTGCATCATCAGGTTGTTCTCTTGGTAGATGTTCTTCGGGGTGGTCAGCACCAGGTGTTGGGGGTTCAGGTAGTTGACCGGAGGAATGGTGTTGTGATTGTGGTAGTCCAGGCTACCGTTGACGGTCTGCTTGGTGAGGACGTGTCTGGAGTACAGCTGCGACATGCAGTAGTTCGCCAAGAAGAGGATCGGGTTCTGCTGCGAGGGCGGCAAGATTCGAGAGTTGCCGGGGAAAGCGACTTCCCCGTTGTGGATGTTGCTTAAAGCTTGCTTCAGCAGCTGGAAATCGAAAATGACTGTGCTGTTGCGGATGAGGTCGTCGAGCTGGCACTGCAGGTACATCTCCTGGTAGCGCAACTGGAGGCGCTGCTTCTCCACGTTGACGCTCGAGTAGAGGTTGTGCACGTCGGTGAGGTTCTCCGCCATCGAGAGGTTCAGCCGGAGCTTGGCCAGCGCGTCGCGCGTCTCTGACAGCTCGAAGTGCGACGCGTTGTTGGTCAGGTCGGCCTCCACGTGCGTCTTCAGCGTGACGCAGGCCTCCAGGATCTTGAGCAGGAACTCGCGCTGCTGCATCGCCAGCCGCTGGATCTCCGAGAGCATCTTGCTCATCGAGGCCAGGTCGACCTGGAGCTCGGCGATGAGCTGGTCCTTGGCCTCGTTCTGCGACTTGATCTGGTGCGTGGAGTGGTCGCTGGTGGTGGCGCAGGCCCGGCACACCGGCGAGCAGCACGTGTGGCACCACAGCGCCAGCGGCATGGCGTGCGTGTGGCAGTTCTCCGAGATGACTTTGGCCGGTTTGTCGGGCGGCTTGGGGCCGAGCTTCAGCTGCGAGAAGTTCTTGGTCAAGCACAAGACGGGCGCGTACGTGGGCAGGGACTCGGGCCCGAGGTCGCCGATCTCGGTGCGCTTCCAGCAGTACACGCAGAAGAGCTCCTGGCCCTTGGTGAGGTTCGTCCGCATGCACTGCAGGCAGAAGTAGTGCTTGCAGGACAGCAGCTTCGGGCTCTGGTCGGAGTCGTTGAACTTCTGCTTGCAGTAGCCGCACAGCATCAGCTCCTCGAATTCGGGCACCACGGATTCCATTTCTGCAAGAGAGGCGCCGTGAGTGGCGTGGGTCGGCGGCGCCGGGGCGGCGGAGGCGCCGCGGGGGCGCTCCCGCCGCCCCCTGGGCCATGCAAACAACTGCGTCTCTGTGCCTGTCAAAGCAGCGTTGCTGGCGTTCTCGTCGATAAGTCGCTCAGCCAGACTTACCGTTATGGTTTTTTTTAATTGTTTTGTTTACGATGTGTAGCACAGCCTTTGAGTAAATCCGATAAAACGAGAGGGATACGCTTTTTGGTCGTCGGTTGTCTAATCTTATAAAAACTCGGTGTTTCGGCAACGGTTTTCGCGTGTTTGTACTATTTAGCGTTTAGAACGGGTACGGTGAACGATGCATTAACTAATCGAGATTTATATTACATAATTGTTTCGTGCCGACAATATCGGCAGATTTACGAAAAAACTTAAAGTTATTGTGGCCGCCGAACGATGTGCCACATCATGTTGACGACTAACCGCACACAGTCAAGTTAGCTGCGATGCGCCGATGTGGCGTCGGCCCGGTTTTGACAGATTCGAGATAACTTCGTACCGTTGCCGGCGAAGCCCGCCAATTTCAAATAACGACTATAATTAAACCCTCTTATCGTGATTCACGACTTTTTTTATTTTGATTACGAGCGAAACGGAACGACGAACACAATACGATCGTAAGCATGTCCGGCGTATTTTTACAGATAAAAGTATTAAATGGACACGAAAAATTCGTGTTTATTTTCTCTCGGTGTTTTTTCTCGATTACAAAAAATTACAAACTTTCGTAAAACAGCCATCACAGGCGCAATTACGAATTCTGAAAGCAAATTTAATGTTGGTTCAGAAACATTTGGAATAAGTATATTATTGCTTTGTATATTATTCAAAATGGCGGCGAAAACAATACTTGGAGGTTTTTTAATGGTGCATTTATTCTTTTTTTTTCCAATTGACGTTATATTTGCTGTCAGAACCCACAATAATACTTGTTGTAACTATATTTTATAAAAGTGTATATACAGCGTGATCAACAACTACTGTTTAAGTTGGTATCAACAAATTTTGTTTGAAAGTTGGCAGAAATATCCCCACTTTATATCTTATCGTCAAAATTGATATGATTGACAGTCGCATTTAATTTAAAGCAAAATTTATTATTAATTATTATCAGAATGAAATTTTTGAATTTTTGGTTAGTGAATTTGAATTCAGGGGGATCAAAAAACAAGTAAAATGTTAGATACTTCCATTTCTGGGAACAAAACTTGTCGGAAAAACTGGTGTTATCACTGCATAGAAATTAAGATTTTTCATGCGCAGTATTATGAATATGAAAGTTCTCTTATTTGTTATCACTTATCATTATCATTATCAGTCTCTGTTTATGTTGTGGAGCTTTTCTTACAGCAAACTGTCGGGAGTGCACTCTTATCTTATCATGCGATTCTACTGTGTGGGTACCCTGCTAATTTAAAATAATTCTGATATTATAAAAATCATTTTAAGAATGTGTTTCACCATATTACTAGTATGAAAAAAGTTAATGGAAACCGAAGATTCTAAAAATGGGAAATGTGTTTGTAAAATTGAATAATTTTTACTAATAATTGTGCTGTCAAAGTTTTATGTAAATCTTACTTGATTATTGTGACTAAATATTCTTTTAATTCAGCTTTTGTTTCAGACATATATATTTTTTTTTTATTCGTAACACATGATCTGTCAAAAATTAATGATTGGAACGATTATAGAACCGGCTTATTTGATTTTCGTGAAATTCTGAGATCACAGTAGCGTTGTTTTTATTGGAAAACTTGACGATTTTTGTTGATGATGTTCCAAGTCCTGAAGAAAGATAGAATTTCCATCCGACTGAAGGCATACATAAAATTGTGTATAGTCTTGTAAATTCTGCATCGGTTTTATGGTCTGTTAAAGTGATTATGGAGTGTTAAACTTGTCGATAATATTAATGAAAAACTTTTCTTTTTGAGGCAGTTTTATTGAATTTTGCAGTTCTATAAACGCTTGTTTAGGTTGAGTCTCGACTGTAAAAGTCATAACTCATAACATATAATTATTTTATAAGTTTAAAGTCATGAATTTTAAAGGCTTCAGAAAAACCTCGGGCTTTAAAGATTATTATTTTTAATTAATATATTATTGACTTTATTACCTCCAATAAACAATAGATAATAACAGCCTACTTAACATGTGAAATAAAAATTTACAATACTTAAAATTGATAATAAACATCAAAGTATATGTTAAAAACCCATACATGATGTATGAAATTTACATTAATATGTATTTACACAAATACATTAAATGTGAACAAATCATCACATAAAAATTTACTATATGCAGAAATTTTGACAGTAACTTGCGAGAGAAATGTTTGTAAAATTTTCTTTTTTTTTTTTCGAGTTTTCAATTTTTCGAATTTTTAATTTTTCATTTCTTCGAATTTTCAATTTGCTATTTGTCGTTTCGGATTTTTGTTTTCTTTATTTTTACACTTTTTTAATCATTTTTGTTTTTTCAATTTCAATGTTTTCAATTTTGCTTTCGTTTTTTTTCCCTTCTTTAATTTCAGTAAGATGCAACTCTTCGAGTTTTCATTTTAAAATTTTTCAGTTTTTCGATTTTCCCACTTTTGGATGATTGGATGTTTCAGTTATTAGATGGGTAGTTTCAGGAATTTTCTGTTTTTAATTTTTTATCTCTTCGTTTTTCTTTCGTTTCGGTTTTTTATTTTCTTAATTTTTTCAGTTTATCGGGTTTTCAGTGTTTTGAATTTATCATTTTTCTTTTTTATGTGATTTTTTTTTAATTTTCGGTTTTTTCGTTTCTTCAATTTTTGATTTGCAATTTTTCTAGTTATAATTTTAAACGTCTAATAATAATAATAATAATAATTTAAAAAATGTTCACTTTTTAATTTTACTTTTTTGAAATTTTCCATTTTAGAATTATTGGATTTTAAAACTTTTTCATTCATTCGATTTTTTAATTTCTCGATATTTAATTTTTCAATTTTTTTATCTTTCAGTGTTACAGTTTTCCGATTTTACAATTTTTGAGTTTTCCAGTTTTTCTATTCGATTCGTTTTTCAATATTTCAATTTTTTATTTCTTCAGTTCTTCGATTTACAATTTTTCGATTTTGCAATTTTCCATTTTTTCGATTTTTCAATTTTTTGCGATTTCTTATATTTTCGATTTCTAATTTGTAATTTTTCAGTTTTTCAATGTAGTCATTTTTCGTTTCGAATTTTTATTTTTTTTAATTTTTTCAATTTTTCGTGTCTTGAGTTTTTCGATTACCGATTTTTCAATATATACATATATTAAATTTACGTGAATATGTATTTACACACATACATTATATTATGTGAACAAATCATCAAATAAAAATTTATTATATGCAGAAATTTCGACACTAACTTGTGAGATAAATATTTGCATTTTTTTTTTTCAAAATTTGGTCTAAAATTAGACACAACTTTCTTAGTCTGTGAGGCTTAAGAAATACATGTTGGCAGATATTTTTCAGTAAAAATTGATGAAGTAATTTTTGGTGAAAAAAGTACGTTCATGTTAATATTTATAATCGATTTATTTTTTATGAAAACTCGCATCCGTAACTTTCTTTTTTTTTCGAATTTTCAATTTTTGATTCTTTAATTTTTCATTTCTTTGAATTTTCAATTTGCAATTTGTCGTTTCGGTTTTTTTTTTCTTTATTTTTACAATTTTTTGATTTTTCAGTGTCCGATTTTATAAATTGTCTTTTTTCAGTTTGAATGTTTACAATTTTTTTTTGTTCCTTTAATTTCAGTATATTCGAGTTCTCATTTTACAATTTTTCAGTTTTTCGATTTCCCACTTTGGATGTTTCATCTTCCTTTCTCTTTCGTTTGGGTCTTTTTATTTTCTTTATTTTTTCAATGTTTCGATTTGCAATTTTATTAGTTTTAATTTTAAATATGTAATAATAATTATGGTTTCAAAAATTGTTAACTTTCTCAATTTTACGTTTTTAGAATTTTTCCATTTTCCAATTATTGGAACTTGAACTTTTTCATTATTTCGATTTTTCAGTTTTTAATTTTTCAGTTTCTCATATTTAATTTCTCAGTTTTTCCATCTTTCAGTGTTACCTAAAGTACGACTTTACAATTTTGATTATTCTATTATCATTTTTCGATTTTATAATTTTGGGTTTTCCAGTTTTTCGATTAGATTCGTTCTTTCTGCTTTCCAATTTTTCGATTCAATGTGTTTTCAATTCTTAGATTTGGAATTTTTTATTTTGCAATTTTTCGTCTTTTCAGTTTTACTATTTCTTAATTTTTTTAGATCTTTTTAGGTTTTCAATTTTTAATTATTCGATTTTTCAACTTTTTGATAAAAAAAATGAATTTAAAACTTAATATTTTTCAGTGTTCGTTTCTTCAATTTTTGCTTTACAGTTTTTCTAATTTTTATTTTAAATATGTACAAATATAATAATTATAATTTTTAAAATTTTTTACTTAAATTTTACGATTTTAAAATTTTTCCATTTATCAATTATTGGATTTTAAAACTTTTTCGAGTTTTAATGTGTGAATTTCTCGATATTTAATTTTTCAATTTTTCGATTTTACAACTTTTGGTTTTTCCAATTTTTCCATTCATTAATTTTTTTCTGTTTTTAAATTTCTCAATTTTTAGTTTTTTAATGTTTCAATTTTTCGTTTTTTCAGTTTTCGATTTTTCCATTTTTTCGGATTTTTTTCGATCTTTCAACTTTTCCATTTTACAAAAAATGAAAAAAATTGCAAAATTGTGGAATTGACAAATCAAAAATGAAAAAACTAAAAAGGATAAATGAAAACTTTGAAAAATTTAAAAATTGGAAATAATAATAGTAATAATAAGAATTTAATACAAACAAAAGTTCCAAAAGAGACAAAAAATTTTACAATTTTTCGTGTCTTGAGTTTTTCGATTAGCGATTTTTCAATATGTACATATATTAAATTTACGTGAATATGTATTTACACATATACATTATATATATTTGTGAACAAATCATCAAATAAAAATTTAGTATATGCAGAAATTTCGACACTAACTTGTGAGATAAAGATTGGCATTTTTTTTATTTTTTTCAAAAATTAGACACAACTTCCTTAGTCTGTGAGACTTAAGAAATACATGTTGGCAGATATTTTTCAGTAAAGATTGATGAAGTAATTTTTGGTAAAAAAAGTACATTCATGTCAATATTTATAATCTATCTATTTTTTATGAAAACTCGATGCATAACTTTCTTTTTTACTTCCCGAGCGTAAGCAAAGGAAGTATTGTAATCGAGTCCGTCGGCCGACTCTCTACTTTTACGTTTTCTCGATCTTTCATGACCCCTAGAAGACGAAGAAATAGGTCTCCCATTTCCGTCTGTCTGTCCGTCTGTCCGTCCGTCTGTCCGTCTGTTGTCCCGGATTTTTA